CAGGACTGCAGCTGACTATTAAGAAAACAAAAATCATGGCTACACAAGTTTGCACAACTTTTAATGTCAACAATGAAGAAATTGAAATTGTGAAAGATTTTGCATACCTTGGCTTAATCATCAATTCAAAGGGAGACCCAGCCAAGAAATTAGAAGACTGAGACCTGGAAGGGCAGCAATGAAGGAGCAAGAGAATATTCTCATGTATAAAATGTTTCACTGGAAACCAATGCCAAGATCATCTGTATTATTCTATTCCCAATCACTCTATATAGTCTGTGAAGAAAGCAAACAAGAAGAAAATGGATGCAATCAAAGCACAGTGGCAGATGAGTGCCTTGGAAATACCCTGGACTGACAAAAGGACAAGCAAGTTGGTCCTAGCATAAATCAAGCCAGAACTTTCCCTGGCAGCAACAATGAAATCTGAACCTTTTGTTCTTCAGGCACATCGTAAGTAGGCAAGACTCACTGGAGAAGAGAGCAGTGCTAGGAAAAGTTGAGGGCAGAAGCAAAAGAGAAACTATCTCATGAACTATGAGATGGATTGATTCCGCAAAGGAAACCACAGCCTTAAGTTTACAAGAGCTGAGCAGGGTTGTCAAGAACAGGACATTTTGGAGAGCACTCATTCATACGGTCACCCTATGTTGGAGATGCTTCGATGGCATGTAGCAACATATTGCTCTATATTATTATTGAAATTGGAAGCGTTTTAAGTTTTGTGCATTTAATATGATTTTAATATTTGCATGTAATCCACTTAGGGATGTTATTATACTTAGCAGTATATACATATTGGAAATATACCTTTTTAATCCAAGTGCAAAATATATGCACCCTAAACTACACATATGTGACATATATCAAACACCCAACAATTTATTTATAAGGTGTAGTGCCAAGTATATACAAAGTGAATACTCTATATAGTCATTAATAATTATTGTTATTCTGGAAGTATACATATAATAATTATTACTGCAGAATATAGTAATAGAAGACACTGATCTCCATTTAACAATGTACCAAATGATACTCAAGAATACAGTGTACACATGCATTCCTGATTAGCATGTGTACAGAAAGGAAATGCAATTATTTAGCAAAACTATTTAGTGAGCTAGCTCTCTCTCTATATTATATATATATATATATATATATATATATATATATATGACTTTTATACAACAACAATAAATTAGTAGTAAGTAGTATTTATTTCATTTCTGTACCTCCCAATAGCCAAGATCTCAGGGTCTTATCCAACAATTCAAAAAAACAGTGCAACATAATTCCATAATTTTTTCCCAAAATACAGTCATTTAAAAACAAATTAAATATGATATAGTCTAGTAGAACACCTGAAATGTGGAGCCTTTTGCAAAAATTAGAAGTCCCATGTGTCTGCTTCTGACCCCTTTCGACCTGGTTCACATGACACATCAGCTACACTGTATTGTTGTTCAGGGTTGCTTATTGAGATGTCAGAACCCCTCATAGTTCATTGACCATGCACAAGCCACCCTGAGAAGCCATGGTTTGTTACTGGGATGTTCAGGATGGCTTGTGTTCAGAGTGGCTTGTCCTGTTGCCTGAACCTTAGAGAAGGACCACAAAGCCACCTGGCAAGAGCAGCAAAAAACTGGGCCACTCCTTGCAGTGCCTCCTATAGCTTGGGACTTCATTTGACACCAACCAGCTTGGTGAACTGAGTCAGTAAATCTATAAGCATATGTGTACCCACCCCCAATTTGAGCACAGTGATTCAGAAGGTGGGGTTGATACCTTTCCCCCTCCTGTTTTCATGTTGGGATCTGCCCTTTGCATTAAACAAGATGGGAGGAAAAGCTCTCTCTTTTTCTGTTTTCAACCATTACCCTCAATCAGGAAAGCTTTGCATGAAAACAGGGGCGAGGATGCTTAAAGTGCCCTTCCTAAATTGCCACCATTGCAAACTGAAGGCTGCAGTGCACCTTTACTTAGCAGTCAATCAGTCAGTGGTCCATCAGGAGTAGCCAAAGAGATTTTCTTTCCTAAAAGTGTTAAGCCAAGATAACAAATAAAACCCGTCACATTGTCCTAAGAAGTAAGGAAGGCCTCCAGTCTGAAGATATGGTATATGCAGGGCAATACAAAGGTGTGGGGAGAAGAATCTCAGCACAACAGGAGTACAGAGTTGTGCCAGAAAGGTCCTTGGGATACCGTGCTGGGAGGGAGGTATGGGTGGGAGGACAAAGAGGAAACGAAGGGCCAGAGCCTGTTCAAGCTGTCAGCAGCAACACAGCTTAGCAAGCTGCTAACAAGTCCACCATGCCTTACATGACATATGAACTAAAGTAAGAAACAAGACTCTACCCATTTGCCAGCACTTCTTTTTATTTATTATTTAAAGCATTTATATACACTTGATTAGCATAAAGCTTTCAAAGTGCTTGTCTACTCCAACTGGGATAGTTGCATAGGTAGCAACATTATAGCTGACTTACAAGCCCTGGCATAATGTGCAAAGGGCAGCCCAGATCTGTGATAGTGTTATTTTAAAAAATAAAAGCTATTTTTATTGCTGCTAGCAAGAGAGCAATAATTTCATCTAGATAAGCCTGGTTAGAGAGGGAAGAGGAAAACAACATTTTGCAAATGTCAGGAAATGGAATCAATCAAAATTCTTCAGCAGTACTGTGTCTTGGAGTGTTGCCTCATTAATGGAACTGCGTCAATTTTTATGATTCTCTTTTCCTCAAAGATACATTCTGTATTATGGAAAATGGTGCTCTCAAAGCACTTTTTAACGAAAAGAATTTGCAGATTAACAAAATCCCTTCAATTGTTTCAATCGCCATCTGTTTTAAGACACAGCAACATGGTCATAGAAGGGGTGTCAAGCGATGCAATTATTTTTCAAGTCCCTTAGTTTTAGGCACATTCTAAAAGAAACTGATTTTTAACATTTTCACAGGATTGAAGGCTTCAAGGTGTGATTCTCATAAAACCAACATCTATATGTTTAAAGATAAAACCAACAGAGAAATTAATTATTAACAAAATTAAATAGCTTTGAAGCCAATCTCATTATTTGGTGGACTCTTGGAATGGACGATGGTTTAGACGTTCATGCTAGGAATGCAATACACATTAAGCTGGTTTCACACAAGGATGAAGAAATGGCTTTATCTGCTTTTAAAACGATGGCTCAGAATATTCACTTTTCACTCTGCTTCTATTACTTGTGATAAAATGGTAGCTCAAGTTAATACTATTCCCTTGTGCTCAAATTATTTACATACATACTAAGATTCATTTATAGTATAAACCACAGTAGGTTGTCTTCAAAAAATAGTCTTGATGTGTCTCTGCATAACAATATCAGGTTGTCAGATGAAAACTAATTTCTGTACTACTTGCAAATAATAAATCAAGTGTTTAATTTTCTTTATCTGTTGCAAACAGCAGCTAAATTTGTTCCTTTTAATTACAAAACAGGAAGGCAACAGCCTCAAAGCATAAAGCTATCAAAATCTTTATTTTTACATTGTCCCAAAGCTTCAACATAATGATGTGCTTCTCATTAAACAGTTTGCCACATGCTGTCTCTTAGGAGAGAGCGAGAGAGCACATATTAACCCAGCAGTAGCAAGAAGAGCACTGCAGGTTACATTTATAAGTAGCACATGTATTGGCAGTATACTTGTGGTAAACGTGTACAATACTTTGCCTTTTGGGTAATGTATATACATTGAAAAGGAAGGACAGAAATATTAATAAAATTTATTATATTTATACCCCACCTTCTTTTCTTCAAGGAACTCAAGGCAGCTTACACTATCCTCTTTTTCCCAATGTCATCCTTAAAACAATGCTGTGAGGTGGGCTAGGATGAAAGTCCGTGCTTGCCCCCAAAGCACCCAGTTAGCTTTGTATCAGAGTGGGGACCTGGAACTGGGATATCCCAGATCCCAGTCCGACGCTGTGACCACTGCATTTCATAAGGGGCAGGAGCAGACTTTAGAAGAACTAGGGGCGCCAGGTATGGCAGCAGCTACATCCACCCTTGTTCCAGGTTAGTGACGGGCATTCTTGGAGCGGTTGCCAAGTGGATGTGGGAAAAGCCGTTTTCCAGGGTTCTCAGATGTTTGCCAAGACATTGGCGCACGCTGGAAGCAACCTGGCACGTCACCTTCCCTCCTCGACGCCTCCGGACGGTCCTGGGCCCTTCCCGCTTCCTGACTCGTTAGCTAAGAGTATTCTTCTCTTACTTTCACTTGTGATTCAGTCGGGCTTTCTGTTACGCCAGCAAGCCTCTCCCTTGCTGCTCGTTTCCCTTCCCCGCCCCTAAGTAGTAGGAAACCAAGCGAAGCTGCCAACGTATGATCAGAGCCTGACAAACTTCTTATCGGGTGGATTTAAAAAGGGAAGAGCGATTGATTGCAAGAGCCGGAGCTTTGGAGCCCCGCACGGAGGCGACAAGAAATCTTCAGCTTGAAGGTAAGAAAGGGCAAGGCAGCTTGGACCGTCCAAGTTAGGATCCCATGGCCCCCGGAGGAATCGGACAGGCGGTCCTGGGGAAGCCGAGGCTGGGGGCGATGCAGAGCGAGGCAAGGGCACATCCAGGCTGTGGAGAAAAGAGAGCGGCAGCCGTGTCTCAGGGGTCCTGGAAAAGAAGGGGAGATCCCGTCTCTTGGGACAGTTCACAAGTGCTGGGCACGCGTTTCCTTCATCCAAAGCTGCTTGGCACGAGCAAAGCGAGCACAGTGACTCGCACCGTAGCCTGAACTTTGTTAGGGCGCTTATGCCACGCTAAGTCGTGATGCACTTTCGCTTCGAGGCGGAAATACGGTCGACCGCTTTTTCGATTAAAATCCCAACTCGCGGAACATGCGTGGAAAGCTTGTGCGCATGCGCTTGGCTATTGGTTTAGGGGAATTCCAGCGGGGTAGGCTGTTCCGCGAGCTTTTGAAGGTTTTGTTGCGGGGGGGGTGCGGGGGGGGGTGCGGGAGCGTTGCTGCAGAAGCGAGGAGGCTTGGGCTACCTGAAAAGACGAAGGCTGCAATCCTAGATGCACTCCTGCCTAGCAGTAGATATGCCCAAGGTTGTCTTGCAGCATCTACCATTTGGCGTGAGCTTTTCGGAGCTTTTCGGAACTGGAACGTGCGTCAACAGTAGGGTTAGTGGGAGAGGTAAGCGCGTGAGAAAAGTAATATCTTAAGCAGTTTCAATTTTTGTAAAAAGAAAAAAATGTCAAGCAAAGCAAAAGAAAGCTGCACGTGTGTCCCAGATGAACTCTGTGTGGATGTGACTACCACCCTGGCTAACAAGCAACTGATAATCACCAGGCTTAGTAAGGTTAGCCAGGTAAATAAACACCGAAAGAGCTGCTGTACTGAGATGGTAACATGGCATTTTAAATATCTTTGCAAGTGCAAGTATAAAAAATGGGGATGGCTATTTTGCATTCAGTGATCCTGAGCAAATAGGTATCTTCGTTGTCCAGAGCAAGTTTTCCAATTACTGTATTGGCAACTGGAATTCAAGGAGTAGCATGCCTCTCCAGCACCAGACGGGGGATGAGCAGCAGACTGGGGGACCAGATGCCAAAAAGAACTGGGCTGCTGTGTAGAGCAGTATTGTCTCATGCAGTGTGGTCACTGTTCCCTGTAATATTGGTGGTATCTTTCCACCACCATGGCACATAGTCCTTCACAGAAGTGTAGGCTTGTGGTGGAGTGGAGAATGGGGAAGCCTTCCCCAACCTAGTGCCCTCCAGATGTTTTGGACTACAACCCCCCTGCGTGTATTTCTTGCAGTTGTCATGTTGGCTGGTGCTGCTGAGAGTTTAATGTCTAAAAGTCTGGGGACAACCTTGTTGGGAGAAGCTGGTATAAAAGGCATAGACTGAATGCCTAGCCAAAGCCTCCCTCCCCACTGTTATACAATTATTAAAAGGTGCAGGAGCCCAGTGATCTCTTACATCATTCTGGCCACACTAAAAACTCAAAGAAGGCTGATTTAAAGTGGCGAGAGAATCTGATCAAGGCTTTCTGTTGTCATCTAACCGAGCCCTTAGATAAAGGCCTTTCACTCAGGCTTAGATACTCATTTATTCAATGTGAATAAAGATACTAGCCTGTTTTACAAATACTATTGTAAGATACTATATGCAAAGCTAAGTAATATTATTTATTTTTTGCATTTCTATATCATCCTATAGCCCACAGGATGCTCAGGGCAGCGTACAGTTTAAGACATATACATAACAGTAAAAATTCAATAAAATCGGACAATACAAACCACTAAAATTACTAAAAATGCAAAAATACATAACCACAACAGTCCATAAATTAACCTCAATCACGTCTAATATTGTGCCTAAAAGAAAACAAAGAAGGTACTAGGCATACCATTGTAGGGAGCATGTTCCACAGATGGTTTCCAACCACCAAGAAGTCCCTAATTGTTACCCCTTACTTCCTTAGGGGGCCGCTCTCCGAGAAGGACCTGTCCAGCAGATTTTAGTGGATGGGTAGGAATATACAGGAGCAGGCATTCCTTCAGATATCCTGGCCCCGAGCTGAGTAGGGCTTTAACTGTCAAAACAATATGTCATTATTAATCTGAATCTTATTTTGTTTCCTTAAACAAGAACGTTGCACTCATTGAATGCCATTTTAGAGAAGCTTTCCAGAGCCATGTTCCTGTGGTGGATAGGACAGAGGGCAAAAGGGGCGAGCCAAAACCACCTGCACGTTGTAGCTTAAAGCTTCTCCTTTCAGAAACTAAGACCTTTTAAGCTTTGTAGAATGTCGAAAACTGACAGGAGGACCTGCAAGCTGGAGGAACTCCCTGGAGTTGCTCCTTATCTTTAGCGCTGCAGTCTCCTTTGTCCTTGCTTTGACCCAGGCAGCAGAGGTGACAAGAAGGTACAGCGGATGCCGTGCCACGTCACACTTGCTCCCTGGCTCTCTGCCTGTGAAGCAAGGAAGGAGTTGCAATTAAGAGCTGGAGAAGCGAGAGCTGCTCGTGAGAAGGGTGCTGAGGATGTAGATTTCGCTAACAGAAGGGGCCCATTGAGGGCCTCTTGCTCAAGGGCTCTCCAAAACCTGAAGAGTGTTTTTCTCAAGGGCCCTCAGTGGGGTCCATTAGGGGTGGTTTACCCAAGGACCCTCAAAAACTCAGCTCTACAATGTCAGAAATGGTGTGAAGTGCCTTCATGGATCCAAGGTCAGTAATGAACAATGAAATTCCAGACCATCAGAGTTCATTGGTGCCCGCTCCCAGGTTGCAGCTTTTGTCTGCCCCAGAGGTCCCCAGACTTTTAGGATTCATGGACACCTTTGGGGATTTGAAAAATTGCTGTGGGCACCACCACAAAATGGCCTCCATAGTTAATGTTGCTAATTGCACCATGGTTGCTATGTGGGTGTGGCTAGTCAAAAGTGAGCTGAAGAAATGGTGGTGTGGTGTGGTATGAGGAGAGAACCGGCAAATGTAAAAGCTGGGAGCGGGGAGGAAATAGCAAGGCAAGAAGGAAGAGAAGGAACAAAGCTTGGAGGCTAGAAAGAGTGAAAAAGAAGGCTAGGGATGGGAGAGAAATATGGAGGCTTGAGATTGGGAGTTAAGAGAGAGAAAGGAAAGCATCCAGTATGGGTGGAAGACTGGGCAGGGCTGGAAATGAATGCTTTCCTTTATTGTCTGCCAACAGCTAAGCTAGAGCAGGTGCAAGAACAGGAAGGAAAAGTTGGTGCCCTAAGATTTTTCAGCAGGTTTATTACAAATTTTTGAAGGTGGAGAAAATGGGAAATTTAATTGATGGGATGATGTTGGAAGTCCCAGTAGTCGCTGCTTTGAAAACTGTCTTGTAAGATAAATGAGTTGAGATAACTGAAGATAAGGTCATTCCCCAATTCACTCGAAGTAAGAAAGAAACGCTACTGTTTATTCAGGATTAATTAAAATTGCATATAAGGTATGTACTTTTTTCCTTCTGTAATGAGTAAAAATAAGGGGCTTGAAAATCTATTCTCCTCAGAAACTATTTTTTCAATGAGGATATTACGCAAAGTGTCCTAAGGGCAGGATCAAATGAATGTAGATTCCCCATTCTGCCACTGTGGTCTTAGAAAATTAAAACTACCACTGTCACGTGTGCTGGTGACTATTTTAAATATTCAGCTCCCCGCAGAGGTTTTTAGTGCCATCCAAACCCAGCTGGTTTTCTTTCTATTTCAACAATATCTGTCACTCAGGTTCAGGCAGTACAGCAAAGGATGGCAACTGAATATGCGAAATTGACTGCTGGCCTTTACTGTAGCAATTGTGCAGACAGGCCTTTGGAGAAGAATTAGCAGGGAAGAGTGAATTGTGTCAGGGCAAGGGCAGAGGAATTAGCAGGATGAGCAATATTAAGTGTGGTTATAGGCATGACATATATTTCTTAGAAATTTCCATGAAAACTGCTGATGTGCATTATTTTGGTTGTTGAGATGGTGTACTTTTTATCGGTTTCGAGAAATTCTTAGCAGTGGTTCAAAACCTATTAAAGCTTTTCTGATTCATAAAATCCTGTTGAAGAAATGGCTGGCAAAGTTACGTTAGGCATACTTAGCTAGAAGGCTTCCAGTACTGCAGAGGAATTCTGTATTCTCTGGACAAGGCTAATTCCTTTAGTCATGTAAGTGATCCTAGACAGTACTACAGGGATAGGGACCCAAGCATGGGGGAAGGGAGATTTTAACACACGCGCGTGCGCACACACACACACACACACCCCCATCCCGTGGTCCCAATCTGGATCAGGTCCTGCATGCCTCCAGTTTACGCTGTCAAAAATTGTTTTGTTGCAGGCATAGGATTAAACATCCCTTTGATTACCATGCTTGGGTCCTGATCAATGCATGGTCCCATGCATTTAGGTATGAGTACAGAAAAAAAGCTTTGGCTATGTCTTTCAATTAATATGCAGTTTGCTTTTCTAAGAATTTAAGAGCAGCAGGGATGGAAAGTACAGGCTCTGTGGGGGAGGAATTTATGAAAGTCAAGTTGCTGGCAGACAAGGCCCTGCCAGTTGCTGTTGTTTTGGTGAGGTATATTCAAATGTTACATTGAACAAGCTTTCATACTCTATGTATGCTCATTAAGATGGCCGAAATGTGTAAGCGTCTAGTCTGAGTAAGTCATTGCTGTATGCACACATAATGACAAGCCATGCTGGAAACTGCACAAGCTGGCCTTGTTGTCACGTGTGATTTCAGCAAGTGTGGTGATGTGCAGCCCATTTTGGTTTCCGTGAAACCTCGCAGAGAACCAATGGTCTGTTTTATGGTTTCTGTGCTTCACCATTGCTTGTTGTTGTATGTGACTCCAGTTGTGATGTTTTGGCACAGTTTCCACATTTTCTACATTTCTGGGTGCTACTATGAGTTGAGGGGCTGCCTTTCTACCACCAGAAAGGCAGGCCCCACCATCCCTGTGCGAGCCATGTCCCTCCTCTGTGCAAGCTATAGCCAGCCTTTTGGACTGCTGATGCAGAAGAAGGTGGCTGGTTGTGCAACCAGGGCTCTGGACGCATTCATGGATTTCCTCTCAGCTCAGCTCTCTGACCGGACCGACCACAAGAGGAAGCCTGTGAATCTTGGAGGGACAGATTTTGACAGGGTGTGCAGATACCATGGCAATGTATGACCCCAGGACAGAAATGAAATACATTGCCTTGTGGTAAACACAGGGAAATGTTTGGTGTTATGTGTGAACACTGGAATGCTAAAGAAGGAAGCCAAAAGATAACCGGAATAACAGGCAAGTTTGGCCTTGGAGTACAAAATGAAGCAGGGCAAAGGCTGGCAGAATTCTGTCAAGAGAATACAATGGTCATAGCAAACACTCTTTTCCAACAACCCAAGAGACGACTCTACACATGGACATCACCAGATGGTCAACAGAGAAATCAGATTGACTATGTGCTCTGCAGCCAAAGATGGAGAAGCTCTATACAGTCGGTAAAAACTAGACCAGGAGCTGACTGTGGCTCAGATCATGATCTTCTTGTTGCAAAATTCAGCCTTAAATTGAAGAAAGTAGGGAAAACCACTAGGCCACGCAGGTATGACCTAAATGATATTCCTGATGAATATACAGTAGAGGTGACAAATAGATTTAAGGAATTAAATCTGATAGAGTGCCT